CCGCGGCGGCGAGGCGGGTTTGGGGGCGGCCCGCCCCCGCCCCCCGGCACAGCCTGCCCGCCCGCCTGCGCGCCGTGCGGGGCGGCCGTGCGCCGAGGGAGCGCGGAGCGGAGCATGGCGCGGCCGGCGGCCGGGCGGCAGTTGCGCCCGGGGCCGGGGCCGCCGCTGCGGCTGCTCCTGCTGCTGGGCGTGCTCCTGCTGCGCGGTGGAGCGGCGGCGGGGGCCGAGCCGTGCCAGGCGCCGCGGCAGTGGGAAGGGCGCACCGTGTTCTACGACCACAGCTCGGGCCGCAACACGCGGGCCGCCGTCTCCTACGACGGCCCCAACCAGCGCCTCCGCATCCTGGAGGAGAGGAAGGCGCTCATCCCCTGCAAGAAGTAGGTGGCGGCGGAACCTGCGGCTGGGCCGGGCCGGGCGGGGCGGTGAGGGTCGGCACAGAGCCCGGAGGCGCCTCCCGGGGGGTGTGGGGCGATGCGAAGCCGGGAGGGGGGGTCTCCGTCCTTCGGGCCCCGCGTTGCCGGCGGCACCTCCCCTGCGTGAGTGGGGGGAGCGCGGGGACGGCGGAGTCGAGGCACCGGCGTCCTGGGAACAGCAGCCGCTAGGAAACCTGTCACCTACAGGGCTTGCCTCCATCCTCCGTGTAGATACATGTGTATATATGTCGGGAGGTTTATAATCAATAGTGTCAGCTTTGTACTTTCAGAGGTATTCCCCCCCCCCCTTCCCCCCAGCTCTTTTGCTGTTTAAATGGAATTGGAAGTGAATCCAAATATGTGAAGTATAACGGGTATCATGAGTTATAACTAAGAGGTTATACTCAAACATGTGAATAACGTTATGGAGTAAGGGAGGAGGTTCTAGCTCAGTAATTTGCAGACCAATTTGAGTTACAAGTTCTCTGGCCCTTCTTGGTCCTTGTCAGTGCTTGGTCTTAAGTCAGTGCCTGGTGTCAGGATGCATCCATTACCTGTGGTACAATATATTCATTCCCATTGCACAGCCCTGCAGGACATTCCTGTTTTTCCTTTACACAGGATGTATCTGTTAAGCCCATAAGTAATCACAAAAAAATCCCCGTGTCATTGTTTGTTTCTTGATTTGCTGAAAAACAAATGTAGAAAAAAGCTGACTAAAGAAGAGCCTCTTTTTTCCTTCTCAGCCTGCCATGATCAGGTTGTGTGGAAGAACTGATCAGCCTAGAGAGGCCTTCCTGAGTGAGATATTTCTGGCTACTGAGCGTCAATCACTTTCAGACAACATGTCAAAACATATCTGCCAGTGTGAGGGTAGCAGGTGTGCCCGTACTTCTTCCTCTCCTACCAATGGATTGTTCAAATAATAGTGTGTCCATCCTGGGGATGTGTGAGACAAGGTAAAGACTAGCCCACAAATGCTGTATCATCCAAACTAATGGTCTCTCCCGTTAAAAGATCAATATTCTTTTTTTGTTGCTGGCTTTTTTTCCTGACAATCAATTTTATACCAACATCGTGTAGTAATTGTTTTAATCCTCCCAAAGCATATGCTCTTCTGTGATCCTTTCCCTCCAAATTCCCTCTTAGAACTGTTCTGGTTTCATTTTCAGGCTTATCTTTCCCTCTTTTTTCATTACTGTTTTTGCATAGGAACCATATGAAGAATGTTAAAAACAACATACAGGTGTTTTCTGGTGGTCTGCTGATATAGAGCACAGAGTCTGACACCAGCCATGACGTGCTCAGGCTTCCCTTCTTCTACAAATCCTAGGTTGACTTTCATGTTTGACAAGCATAAAACTGCTACAAAGCCTGATGCAAGTCTTTTCTAGCTTCTAAGTTGTGCTGCATTCCTTTTTTTAAGCTTATGTTAATTTTATTTGAAAACTTTAAGATTTAATAATTATGCTACATTTTAGAGTCTGGGCCAGATTTTGTCTTTTGCCAAGATCTTAAGTTCTTATATTTTTGATAAATACCTGCTCTGGGTGCAGTTTTGTCTGTGTTGATCGGGCTAGAAACAGGCAGACAGGTGTGCTTGTTGGTTTTTCTTGTATTATATTTTCGTTGTAGACAATTTCTTACTTCAGGGGTCTTTAATGTTTCCAGGTCCATGCTTTCTGCCATCCAAAACTGAAGAGGGGTTTTGTTTTATGTGCAGTAATGTCTGCTCAGGGCATGACCCAGCTTCCATTTAAGTAAACAAAAAGTCTCCCATTGGTTTCAGTATGTGTAGGATCAGGTCTAGAATTGTGATCACAACTTCATTTCACTGTGGACACAGTGAGTCGTAAACTGAAGCCTTCAGAAGTTAGAGGCAAAGGGATTTATCCTGTCTTTTGAAAAATAACCTCTCTTCCACCCTGTTTTGACATTGACAAGAAAGGAGTAATTATGCTGAGGCAATGAATACAAAATCAACAAGAAAAACAGTGCTGCCCTGGAAAGGAAATTTCAGTCTAAATTTTCACATTTTGCTCCTATCAGATGTAACTTATGTGCAGCAATCAGGGCTGGCCAACAACCACATTTTTCTACAAAGCATTTTCTGAAGCTTGCAAATGTGAACCTTAATCAGACACAGCCCTGTTTGAGTTATTGGCTGAGGTTAATCAAGGACACAAAGATTTTCCTGTGTGGAATGGCTTGCAAGCTCATAACCGCAGGAAAACATGAAACTTTAAGATTTTAATGTAGATATGTTTCAAAATCATGTATTCTGCTATGTGGCATTTTCATACCTACATCAGCCCATAAAACATACCTGCCTCAATTCCAGAAAAGTAGCCATAAGGTAAACAACCAGTTGCTGCTTCGTTAGCATCGCTTCTTTGCCCATCGGTTGTTTCGAGATCACCTGAGATGCAGTGACCACATTGGTAAAGACTGCCCAATCCCCACTGTCCAGCTGCACTGTGTCACCTGCCATCTGGGCACACACCTTGCTTGCCAGACAGCCAACAGAGCCAGTTCATCAGAGAAGTCATAGCTGTGGTTTCAACCAGCTTGTTGGGTGTGTGTTTCTCTAGGTCACACAATTGACTCCCACACTCTGGCTCAGAGTGTAAAAACTACCAACAGTGATCCTAGGCTGAGTTTTTTCAAGGAGAACCTATTCCAGTTGGATTAATATCTGGGCTTTCTTTTTCACTTCTTTTCACTGCTTTTCGAGACCCAGACTTAGCTACACTCTGTTTCGTTTTCTCCAGCATGCCTTGCCCTCCTACTTCTTTCTGCTTCAGGATCAAATTTTTGGGGATAGACAAGATGGGCAGGGACAGTCTTAGAGTTTTGTGTAACGCTCAGCTGAAACTGGTAGCAGAAAAGGAGAAAAGAAAACAAGCATTGAATATATTGTGATGTTTCCCATTTGGACTAGGTCATTCCATATATAATGTGAAAGGGAAGCACTTGCAACAGCTCCCTAGAGCTCTTGAGGCAAAGCTGTGTTCATGCTGTTAAACACAGAACGTATTTTTTAGTTCTTTATTGCCTGCTAGGTGAAGTTTCTTCCTTCTGTGCTCTCTGGATGTTAAACATTCCTCACTTACGTTCAACTCTCTGTTGGCATTTATCTCAGGACACTTCACAAAATAGGTAACAGTGGCCAGCATGGTTTGCAGTTGGGGATAGCTACCTTTTTTAAGGTAGCTTCAAATGGTGTAGATTTGAGTATGACATCTCTGCAAATTGTGAGAAATCCTGGCACAAAAAAAAAGTCCAAACAAAAAATCCTACTGACTGCGTTGTGGCCAGAACTTCATGTTATCCATCACCTTTCTTTCTCGGAGAAACAGAGCAAAGGGTGTACTCTGGCACTGCTGAAGCCACTCAACAGGTGTTAGTGCTTAGTTATGAAGAAAGAAAAGCATGAAGTGAGGAGCAGAAATAGTACAGGTGGTGCTTGAGAGCTGGAGTGTTACTTGCTACATGTTGTGTTCACAGAGTTTCATACTTCCATACTGTTTTCCACAGAATGATTTTCAGGGAAGGGCCAATAACAGGTTGTCCTATGAGAAATGTGGCGGTGGAAAGGAAAAAAAATTCATGTGGTCAAGAAAGTCGGTAGGAGAAAACAAATGCTTTTTTTTTTTTTTTTTTCTTCTATCCATGTAATTTAACAGTAATTTCCTTGGCCTATTGTACAGTACTCAGAACATTGAGATGCTTGTGTTTTTGCAGCTGTTAGGGTTAGTGTCTTAAAAACTGTATCTGCACAGCAGAAAAACAATCAGGAGGTACACTATCAGTGTTAATTTAAAAATAGAACTGCATATTGTTAAATTCCTTTAGTTCAATCATATTTGAAAAAGATAGGTACAGTTAAGGGGAGGATAAACTCCTCAGCTGGCAACACAAACTGCTGGTGTGATAGAGGAGTGACAAAGCTATGTTTAGAGAAATAAGTCTCTTATTCTGGCAGGCTCTTTGCCTGTGTGTGTCAATCCCTGCCCATGACTGAAGAGAAGCAGCAGAAGGTCAGGTGCAAATATAACAACATTCATCTGGAGAAGAAGTGATGACTTTTCAAAATAAACAGAGTGTAGGCACACGTGTCTGACTTATCTCAACTACTTTTTAGTTGTTTTAGGATGTGTGATTGTAAAGGAAAAAACAGCGGTGTCTGACTTACTAAAATCATATAATCCATCCGTTCTGTGGTCATTGTGGTGACTCAATAGGCTAAGTATTGAGCTACCCTGAGCAACTGCAAATTTCTTTCCCAGACTTGGTTTTGGGAGTGGTTTCTGCAGTTTAATGTTTTGGGGAATGAAAGACTATCACGGGTAGAATTTTCAGAATTGGCCAAGTTGCCCAAGGAATATGGAATCCAAGTTCCATTTTTTAAGATTATGTAGACTGTGCAGACTTGTGAAACCCTTAATTTGCAATGAAGCAGAAATGAATTTTCAGCAGTTTGTTTAAATGTAACCTGAGTTTTTGGGACCTAAAATTCTTAATAAGCTGCTGTGTATCTAACTCACTTCTGAGAGCAAGAACTGAGGGAAGGACCTCCTGCATTTACTTTCCTCCTATAGGTGTCAAGTTCTTTCAAGTATCTGCTGGTGCTTATGACTATGAAAAGTTTGGAAAGGAGGCTTCGGAAAGCTGCTGTCATGGATGCACACTGACAGACAGATGCCAGGCAATAGCCTAAAGCAAGCCTCAGTTGTTCTAGTGAGAGTTGTGTGATGGGGTGAGGCAGTTGGCTGTACAAGCCTTAACTCCTACATTTCCATCATAAGCCCATTTACAAGTCATTTTACTGAGTCCCTCAGTGATGCTCCCTGCCAAGGCAGCTGGTTCCTGGAGAAGAGCACTGTACAAGGAGGGAACTGTGATCCATGATGGCTGCATGGTGGATGATCTCGTCTCACTCCAACTGTTCATTCTGTTTGTCT